AGCGGTGTTTGGCGGGAAATGCAAATGCATTACCATTTCTACGGAACAAGTCGCCACATGTTCCAACCCCCAACCTGGAGGGCCAGGAGGCTGTGTTCGTCAGACCTCTACCCATTGACCAACTTGTTATGAGAGACTCTGTGAGTGTCTCACGACACTCTCCAGTATAGCTCAATGGACCGCTGAGGTGCGCAAACCGTCACACCACGGTAAGGTCCAGTCTCTTCCCCGTCCACCTTTATTCTTTTCTTTACAATACGGCTTTCAAATAAGTCATGGCTGTACGGCAGTGAAGCATCGGTGTTGAACACTGATGTCATGCTGTCGACGGTGATGATGATTTTTCCACAAACCGCATTGATACGTTACTCGTAGGGAAGATACATATGTGCGTTATGGAAACACGGTAGTCTGCGTTTTGACCCATTTTTCCAATCGTTTCCACTTGATTCAACAGGTCCTTTCACAAGTATCTTGTGAACACCCGATGGACGTGGAAGACGAAGGTGTTTTGAGGTGTATTCGGCAAGTAGACGACGCTCTCAATCAGCTGGAATGTAAATGGAAATCAGATTGTTCTCATTCGTCGGTTAATATGGATGCCGTTCGCAAACTGAATCACAGATTTCATACGTTTTTACGCAACTTAGATGTAACCAGTCAACTCTGACCATTTTTCCCTCTTTACTTTTTGAAAATATATATTTATGTTTACTAGTTTAGCGGCTTTTTTCGACCCGGTCTGTTGCGGCGTAACCATGGTCTCCTTCCGCTTGATGTTCCTCACTTTCCCTAATTCGGAACTTTTGTAAGACTAATTAGTTACCGCAGTTGATGGAGTCCGAGCATCCTATCAACCTGATCCCTTCGACCGAATTTCGCACGTTTATGACATCTGTTATTACCGAGATGAGAGCTGTTCCACATTCCAGAAGACTTTTCTGGCTGTCAGTTCCTCTGCACATCTGCGTCAATGGATTGTTGTTCTATCGTCCTCTACATTCCCATAAAATGTGTGCTAGTTTGAGATTTTGTCATAATTCAGTCGTGCTGAATCGACCGATGCCAGCACATTGTCCTGTTATCTTTGCTCCACGAAAACACGAAACTACAACTATCGTTAATTTATTGTCAGCGTAACACTTATTATGGCCGTGCTTACGCCTCTCCATTTCTGGCATTAGGCGACTGTGCTGGTATATTTTCTTACCCACCGATAAAAGCAGCCGGCACCTTTGGATTGTGAGTGTGAATTTATCGATTCATTTGTGAATAATCGGCCGATTCGACCAATTGGTAAACGGATGGGTAGGATTACACTATCCACATCCCAAACACATGTCTTGACCAGCAGGGTCGAACTGTGGACGATTCTGGTGAATTCGTCAGTCAACAGGGTAGTGAAACCGATGCATGTCTATCACAAGTGCACAGTCATTTTTCGTGGTCTGATCGTAGTCGTCGTGTCTGTTTTTATCCAAAAACTTCTGACATCGACACTGAGATTTGAGTTCATCTATCGAAACATGGAAGATTAACCAGATCGTATTTTGGATAAAGCAAGATCGAACAAGTAAATGTGAATCCGCCGCTCCGATTATTCGGTGCGGCATATCGTCTGCCTGCTGCTTCAGCTAACGGCAGAGCACTTGGACAGATCCAAAGGCTTGCTGCCACTAATAGGTTGTTTATCCCAAACAAAGGCGGCTGTCAGATAACTGTGACGCTTAGAGATCAGGCGTATAACGTTGTATAACTTAACCTTTAACTATGATCACAAGAAAATGCTTTACATATGGTCATCTAGGATCAGGGCGATTCCCAGGTGTGTAATACTGTTATTGATTGTTCAGAGCGTAGTAGATAAACACTCACATTGGCATCAGGACAGAAACAGTATAATTACCCTCGGGGTCATGTTTCCAAACACCTGAAATTATCAGTTCCTTTGGGAACTGCCAGCAGGTGATTGTCTAAGAACTGATTAGGTAACAAAAACCAGAACTACACGGTTTCCGAATTTCGGCAATACACGCTGAAAGGGGACCAGAACTGGGGCAAGGTTCCCTTGTCGGTAGTTTGCTGCTCTGAAAACACCGAAAAGTTCATTCCCGTGGTCTGTAGGTATATATTTGTTTCGCTTTATCAGGATTGTTTTGCATTTAGAAGTTGAACTCTTGATGATTGTGCATTTCTCCGTTTTCAGTATAATCTCACAATTCACGAAGCAGAATGGTGACGTTTCAAATCGCGCCCAAAATTTTTGAGGTTTCATCCCTAGTAGATCTGTACATACGGGATGCTGATGAAATCATCAGTGTAACCTGATCTGCTATCCAGGACGTCAGTAGTACTGACATGTCCAACTGTAGTCAGTCTTTTTTCCACCGAGTGCTTTCACTGGACAGTACCACTTTGACAAAGCCGACATGAGTCATTGTCGCATGTCCGCTGATTTCGATTGCGACGTTGCGTAGGTTTGCGAAGTAAAGTGAAATGAAATAACTACATGGTAAATGAAATGTTGGATGACCCTACAGCACTCGCCAATGCCTGAATATGTAGGACATTTACACAAGCCTGGCTGGTTGACACGTTCGCTGAACGGTTAGTGGCAGCACCAGTCTCATACCGAATAGGTAAGCACTGGAGGTTTGACCCACATTGTGGAGAACCGGAGCGATTCTTTGGATTCGACCCAAATGAAGGTTTTGTATGAGGAGTGACCCATCAGCGAATGATGGGTTAAGTTTACAATAGCAGAGGCAAGATGCAGTTGCCGCGATTCAAGATGCCGGAATGGTGTGTAGGTATGAGTTCGCGCTTCAGCCTATAGTTGTTAACGAACGCTCATTCTAGAATGGTAACGGTTCTTGAGTTTTTTTCCGTTTCAAGCGCTGCCTAGTTGTTCCTCATATACACTTGCTAGAAAATTTCCTCAGCGCATCGTGGATGTCATCGCTCAGGTTCCGTGCCGTCCCATACTTTCGAAAACATCTATCACTTTGTGGGCTTTCTTCTATTGAATGATGGAAACGATTCTAACCACCAGCAAACTGCTCTTAATGTATTTTCATAAGGGAAACTACTCACAAGGCTGCTGAAAACGCTTCGATAACCCACGATCGGTTTCATCCTTATTGGGGCTCATCAGGTAGGCGCCGTCCCCGAGTTTCCGTCAACCTTATATTCTACTTGAACCCAAATTGGACTGTTTTCGAGAAATACACTCATTTGCAAATCAGTTTTAGAATATCATAAACGAGAGATTGAGTTGAGTCTCTCGTGAAAACCAAATTGATTTGCAATTGGGTGCTCTTAAAGTACTTTACAGATTTTTTGACACCCTAACCACAATGGTAGCATCAATTGGACACAAATTTGACCGACTTTGGGGTTACGAACGGAGCGAGCACTTAACATCTATTGTAATCAGCTTCTATTCAAATTCCTTGTCAATTCGTAAGGTAGTCACTATACCTCCAACAGTTGTCCACTTTACACGTCTTCAGTCACTCTTGTGGTTTATTTTTCTGATTGGTGGCTGTCGGAGGGACTACATAGATAAACATGTTTATTCTGGATTGTTTGGATATTTCGGAACAAATATTTCGAACACCATAGAAGCAATTCGTCTCATTCGTGGTTTTCTGGACATCTTAGCCAAGACTTGTGATCTAGGTAAAAATGATTTGGTTGTCCCTTGTAACAGTGTATATATATAACGGGAAATCAGTAGGTTTTTAAGAGGTTCAGAAACGCCGTTCACACCTGTTCACTAGCCCCGCGTAGAGGCGGTTCTGTTGGCGAAGGGGCTTCCTTTATTTAATTTCCTTGGGGACTCAATCAATATCTAGTTTTCTGAATGTCCCCTCTTCAAATCTCTTCAGGTGTTTAGAGAATAAAGTTGTCTCTTTGGCTTAGAAAGTACGCAGGTGGTCTCACTTCAACTCACTGTCATTCCTGTTCGATCCTGACGAATGTCGCCATAGCTGTAAATCCAACCAACAATTCGGGACTAAATCTGGTTTACGTGTTTAATTTTTGCAGTTCAACTCCCCGTCTCTCTGTCACCTAGCACTGGGACTTCATCCACTATTTTCTGTGAAGCTGTCTAGACCGTGAATTCAAGCTGGGAACACCAAAGTTTCTCTTACTATACACTCTCTTAAAGTACTTTACAGATTTTTTGACACCCTAACCACAATGGTAGCATCAATTGGACACAAATTTGACCGACTTTGGGGTTACGAACGGAGCGAGCACTTAACATCTATTGTAATCAGCTTCTATTCAAATTCCTTGTCAATTCGTAAGGTAGTCACTATACCTCCAACAGTTGTCCACTTTACACGTCTTCAGTCACTCTTGTGGTTTATTTTTCTGATTGGTGGCTGTCGGAGGGACTACATAGATAAACATGTTTATTCTGGATTGTTTGGATATTTCGGAACAAATATTTCGAACACCATAGAAGCAATTCGTCTCATTCGTGGTTTTCTGGACATCTTAGCCAAGACTTGTGATCTAGGTAAAAATGATTTGGTTGTCCCTTGTAACAGTGTATATATATAACGGGAAATCAGTAGGTTTTTAAGAGGTTCAGAAACGCCGTTCACACCTGTTCACTAGCCCCGCGTAGAGGCGGTTCTGTTGGCGAAGGGGCTTCCTTTATTTAATTTCCTTGGGGACTCAATCAATATCTAGTTTTCTGAATGTCCCCTCTTCAAATCTCTTCAGGTGTTTAGAGAATAAAGTTGTCTCTTTGGCTTAGAAAGTACGCAGGTGGTCTCACTTCAACTCACTGTCATTCCTGTTCGATCCTGACGAATGTCGCCATAGCTGTAAATCCAACCAACAATTCGGGACTAAATCTGGTTTACGTGTTTAATTTTTGCAGTTCAACTCCCCGTCTCTCTGTCACCTAGCACTGGGACTTCATCCACTATTTTCTGTGAAGCTGTCTAGACCGTGAATTCAAGCTGGGAACACCAAAGTTTCTCTTACTATACACTTCCCGCGTCGTTTGTGTTTTTCTGCGACAGTGCTTTGGATAGTGTCGGTGATCTCAATGCGTGCCGTTATACAGCGAGTTAAGGAGGCATCTGTAACAGGTGAGTGAGTTACACATATCTCGAATTTCAAGTCATACATCAGAAAACTAGTTTCCTTACCACTGGTGACGTTTTTCAACTGCAAATGTCTGATCGAACTAAGGGACGATTATAGTTTTCAGTGGATCCACTACCCTAGACTGCTTTTTTATTAACTGGGGAGGATGAGTTACCAATCTAACTCTGAAAAGTAACCCTCATTTCTTCATCATTCCATCTTCAAAGAGTTTCTGTGTTGGAAACAAAACAACGAAACACCTGAGAAAGTTATTTTGAATCTTGTAGACCCACTAGGATAGGTTTTCCTAGCCTCATTATTTGTTGAAAGCAAGCACGAGGTCTCTGTTTGTTCATCTTGACCAGGAGGCGAAAGATGATTCTAGTCGATGTACTCCTTTGGTCACTTTTGGTGTGTGAAAGCCGTAAGTAGTTTGATCATCATAGTTAGCTGAAAGTTCATCCGCATAAACATCTCGTCTTAATTTAGGCTTGCTATTTTGTCTCATAGGGGTAGGCGAAAATATTTAGGATACTCACAACAAAGGCATGAATTGTAATTGATCCTTCAACTAGATATGGTTAATCTTTGTATGTTTGAATCGACGACTGGATTAGATAGGGAAAGCTTTCTAAAACCGGAATTATTCTGATCGGACTACATCAAATCAGTTTGAAGCACTCAGGACCATTTAGATATCACATGGATGAAGCGTACCACATACCGCGCCTTTTTACATCTCATAATGTCATTTATATATCTGAAGATCAATTAGGTAGTTTGATCGCCAACTTGTGTGCTGCGACCCTTCTGACCAATGCGGGCCTGTTCTCCGAATGCATTTTTCACTCAGTAAGTTTACTAGTAGTTAAAATTGTTCGCAAAAGAATGATTAGGGTCCGCTCAAGTGGGCTGCATAGAATGGACTCAGGAATTCTCAAAAATAACCTTGTTGGATATGCGTCCTCCTCAGTAGATGGGATCAAAAATGGTCACCCACTGTCAAAAGGTTCCTACTGCGCCTGGATTTACCTGTCCGGCAAATCACTGATATTTTTCACATGCTCGGCACTATACCAACAAAGTGATCAGATCTGCACAGTATTCGTCTTTAGTTCGGAGGACATTTCACTTTAGCTTTCTAAAGTGTGACTGGTCAACTGGAATGACAAGTTATAGGTATTTGTTTTTTGTTAGTCTTAGATCTGCTGTCACGCCCATTTGCTTCTGCTGATCGTTCAGACCGTCATCGTTCATCAAAGTTCATGATGTATTCCCGTTCAAAACTTGCTTTCTTTGTAGTATTTTCGCAAAATTTGGAAAATTCCGTTATTCACTCGCTCATTGTCATAAATTACCGACAGCCTTTAGTGTCATCTTCCTTCTAGTTTTGTCACTTATAAAAGAAGAGTTGTGTTCAGATTATGTTCAAATGTCAACACGATTGTTGTTTGGCGTGCTTGATATTATCCAACATTCCTTCTCACAAATATAATTCAGTGCCATTCCTATTGATGTGACGTAAGGAAGGTTTTCGATCTCTCTGGCTGTTCACAAATCTGAATAACCTAATGCAGGGGTCAGCCATGTATGAGGGAACAAGTCTCTCCATCTTCATCCGTGTGTCTTGATCGTAGGACTCTCCTTTCGTCTTATAGAGTGAACCGCAGACTGCGACATCTACTTGGAACTTTCTTTTTTTCGAATGATTTTTTCCCTTGAAGTGTTTCCCCACAACAAATCCTTTCACCCACCATAAACTGCCACACTTTCAAAAACAGACGTGCATCGTCTGGTTCAAAGAGCAATATACTTACTTGCATACGGAACCTTGAGTCACGCGTAGGTTTGATGAATCCGGATATTCGAACGAAAAATAAGTTCGAAAGTGTACGCTATTATTTACAAAAAAGTGCACAAAATTGTAAAACGAACGCAAGTTGTTCACCTGGCGTCAGCAAGTGAGCAAGTTTGTCACTGACCGGCACAGTGCATTGTCAAGGTCCACACACCAACTTACGCCGAGCGGAATGTTGGCTTCATCGTGTAGTTCGCTTTCGAGGCCAGTCTCATCATTCTGGTTGACGGTGTGGTTGCACGAAACTCATGACAGAACAATCAGGGCAGGTTCGGCAAACGGGGCACAAACACTTACAAAAGTAACCAACCCCCAAAAGAAGTCGTAGTCCGCTCACTGAACTACTTTTGCGCTAAGCAGGGGGACGAATTCAACTGAATTGAAAAACAATAGTCATTCACTTTTTGGCAGGGATGTGAATGATGGTAACTTCATTGAACAATTTCGCTGGATTATCGCTATGTTAAATCTCGACATTTTTTTCTCACTGTGCCGCAAAGTGGTCGAGGCTGGAGCAGGACACGATCCGCAGTTCTGTGTACAATGCCACAAGATCAAAAGACTGTCGTTAGTGATCTTCACTAGGTTTTTCACCGGTTTTTACTGGTTGTTGTAGCTGTTAGTACCATACGTAGCACTAAGGATGGCAGGAGGAAAACCAGATGAAGTTGAGCGGTGTCCCATCCATCCCTTGACCGAAGTATGAGTCGTTGGATCTTAATGACGCCGTTGAAGGAGAATACACACCTTGTTTTACATTGGGCCTCTGGTCTTATCTGATGGATAGTGTGGTTCAGGTATTCCAATAGTTTTTTCTTAGTTTTGTTGCTGTATTACGTTTGATGCAATTTTCATCACACCGGCTATGGCCGTTCGCTCCCGTTTCTGGTTCAATTTCCTGGTCGCATTTTCCCCATACAGATGCTGGCTGCTACGTCACACCATGCCCAGATATGCCCTAGCAACTGGAGGACAAAGTTTAATCAATGACATTTCGTTTTACTTTGCGTTTTCTTATCTCCATCGCTTGACCTAAATTTTTGACTGACAGCTGAGGGGACAGTGTTAGTTCTTGGGCTCTGACTGTGCATCCAGGCTGTCTTATTTGACGCTCTGTCAATCGTGTCCAAGCAACTGACGCTTCTAGAAATAACAATTCCAGTTCGTCATAAACAGTGGTCGCAGCACACCGATTCGGTAGTTTAGTTCAGTTTATCACATTTTCACATCTCACTGTTCAGTTTATTTCGAACCGTGCTCGCCAAAGGAAACCTCGGATAAGTGGCAGCTGAAACGAACTGTTGTCGCATGGGTTCAGGGATATCTGGTAGGATGTTCAAACAGCTGGTGAATTCGTTAATCAGCTAGCATCTAAACCATGGTTTTCTCCTCCTAACAATGCATCCTAGCCGATTCTGCGAACTCTATGTGTTTCACCTTATTCGCTATCTTTCTTACTTGTATTAACAGTTGATGGATCCGTCGTCAGCGAAATCGGTCGTGGAATTTTGGTGTTGATTGGAATTTCTGCGAAGGATTCAAAGACGGACACAGCATACATGTGGGTCGTTTCCTGTCAATCGGCTGTCCGATGTTTCCCACACCAACTGCAATCGTTTTCGTGAATTTCGGTTATCCTTTTTGCACTCAAGTTCAGCACTTTCTGTTTACTGAATTGATAATGCACAGTAGTACTTCTTCCTACTCCAAACTTTCCTCCCCGTTATGCATCAGCCTCCATTGTGTAGGTCACATCACTAAAGATAATCCGGGGACAAAACACGGAGCATACACCATGGCATAAGGACGTTCTATGGAAACGCGCACCTTCTTCCCGTATCCTGAGTCCCATTCAGAGGAAAGCATTGTAGGCTAGCGGCGAATCATGCATTCTGATTTAGATAATCTAGGTTGGGCAACTGGTTCATTTTCTCTTGTGTATCTGATTCACAGCTGCCGTGTGAATCAAAGCAGCTGTGTCATGCTTATAGTCCCTCAGTCCGGATGCATGCGCCGATGTATGTCGCCTGTGATGGATACTGTGGTTGAGCTATTCAGATGGTACCAAAGGAGGCGTGCTGTATCCCTGTTCAGGAGAGATTTCAGTATAACCAGCATGCGTCCTAACAAGGATGTCCCTCACTCTTTGAACATGGAGCTTGAAAAATTCCTGCTGTTGACTATCTTGGTCGAGCTGTTACCTTCTTGTGGGCTATTGATAAGCGCAACCAGTGGTCCATCTGGCTACTTTCCGTTTGTTTGTGGTCTCTTCTGAGGTTAGAATGAACAAGCAAGTGACACCCTTCATTTTCACCCACTAACCAACCTTATGGCCAACATAGAGTTCCGTGCTATGTAACGCTCTATCTGACGTACCATATTAGACATGTATTGTACTATGCAAGCCTACTGTGATTGGTGGATTTTATTGAGTCACTGCATTTAACGGTCAGAGCTCAAGATTGCTCAGTCGTTAAGGCGCGATTGGAAGTTCCGTAGTTCGAACCCAACCTTTGCATCTTGGCTGATGTTGTCTAGGCTTGAAAAGCCTTCCTTCGGGTGGCAGATAGCTGTGAACCGAAAAGGGCATTACAACTGAACGGCAAAAACGGTTATACATTATTATGTTTGTTGTCACATTATTGCTTCCATTTCTAGCCACTTTTGTTTCTTAATTGAGAAATACGAATGCTTTTGTGGACTTATCCCAAATTATCCAGTTAAACTGTGATGACTTGGCTTCATTCCACTCTGGATGGAAGTTGAATGGGTCAATCCTTTTGATTGGATTATTGTTAGATGTTAGTGGATAATGGAAACCTTGGCTAACAGATTCAAGTGTATAGGCTTCCCTTGGAGGAGGGTGCATTCATTATCAATGAAAACGTCCAACCGTAGCCAGGTTATGTTAAACCTGGAGGACGCAATTATTGAATTTCTTGCTTGATTGGCAGTGTCGTCTTTGTACATCTTTGCTGAATTTTTCAGTGTCAGAAAATTGCTGAATCTTCGAATATTTCCTAACGAAGATGGTTCTCGACGTTGGGATAAAAGTGTGAGGGATTTGAATCTGGAACTCCTTTGTGTTAGTCAGGTCAGTCTGAGGACACAGTAGTCGTTAAAAAGTTTTTTATATTCTTTCAACATGGTATTGTCTTCCAGACTGGTTTTTTGGTATTGGTTTAGAACAAATTGTATGAATGCTCACAATTTCCAGCCTGTTTGCAGAGCTCATCTATTGGTTGCTGCCAGTTTGTCAGTCATTCGGTCTTTTTGGCTTCTTTCATCCAAGACCACAGAAACAAAATGTCCTCCGTAAACCACCCAGTTGAAGCTAGTTTGGCAGATTTCTGGTCCAATTGAGTGAATAATCCCACACTGTTCCCAAGAACACAAAATGACGAAATGAAGCGAACTTTTAGCTTTCCTTTCAAAAGTGAACTGAATGGTAGGATATGCTCAGTTGAAAGTTCGCATGAGGGTAGCTATTTCTGGAGTACCGGATACGGATCTTCATCCGAAACATCTGTTACACGTTGAAAAAAACAAGACAACTCTGGACGCGACATCCTGGTGCTTTCAGTTTAAGCACAGCTTGTTTGCTTGAAGTAAGCACATCTAACTTAGAAATATAAGTGTGAGAGAGCCGTTTCAGTAATCTGGTGTTTTTGAATGGGATGCCTATATGAAACAATGTGTCGTGTAAGTAAAGTGCGTTTCTTGCTGGAAGCACCTCCTGAGAATTCGGTGCTTAACTTCGTCATCCATCGTAGGACCAGAGTTTGTTTTAGAGACTTCTCTTAGGATATACAAGTCCCAAAATTAATAACCCTTTTCTCGATGCCTACCGAAATTTGTAAAATTGGCTGAAAAATACCACTTCAGTAGAAGGAAATCTTGGTGGGAGCAACGAGGCTTTTGACTGCCTTGGCGGAGTTTCCTAGGTCCCTACATGCGACTCATCCGACTGTTGCTGCTAGCGCATGCTGTGGGTATAGGGCTGTGAATATGGACAGGCTACAACACAAGCTAACTTTCACTCGATAAAGTATGCAGTCAAAGCAGTCAAAGTATTCCCGTTTTGTAGCAACTTCGATGCAAATTGTAGCAGATATTATGAGCCAAATGGAAAAACAAGAAATCCACTATTACGCTCTGAAGCAGTATTGCCGTGGTGGGACACCAAGGTACCGTCAGTTTCCTTGTAGATCCGACTAGAAGTACGCTTGACATCACCACGGTGAACGAGACAACGGGTTTCGTGATCCCCTGGATGTTATCTTAGAGAGCCATGCGATAGTGTTTCTCTTCTACTTTTCCAAGTCCTTTGCCTCTCTTGCCACGTGCAGATACGAGGGGTTGTTACAGGCGAGAATGCAAATCCTATTATGCTCGCCTGCATCGGATGGTTCCCTGTTCAGGTTGTCAGTTGGTCATTTCTCTTTTTATTTGGATTTCATTATTGCTAAAAGGATGAAGTTTGGGGGAAGATCTGTGTGTCACTCATATAAAGGTGATGACCCTTGATACCATGGTTTTACCTGACAAAGAGAACCACGCATGAGAAATGGGAGTACAGTACACACTTTGAAACTATTGATTTCGTATACCAGCTATGACTCCAACACTTAACACCCGGTCCTGCATGACATCCTGGGTACAGTTACGTGTATAAACGTGATACTGCTTTCAGGTTGGAATATCCCGCTTCATCATTGGCATCGACGGCAACGCCACCATAGGAACGTTGATGCGTATTTGCTTCAAATGAAGTGGGGAATAAAAGAAGTGGAAATGGTCCTAGTGCTCTGCCATTAACAGTACAAAATAATAATAGATATTAAGGCCCCATTAACAGTAGCCGACAGTACAAAATAATAATAGATATTAAGGCAGTAATAGTACTATTAGTTGTACGGTTGATCAGTACACAGACATAAAAACATGAATGAATCGAAAGGGTCGTTATGGAATTTTCACTAAGTCTTCACTTTGCGGCAATACTGCTCCATGGCGTATGGGTGGATTTCTTGCTTTTTCTTGATTTTCCTAAGAATAAATCACCTGTGTCAGAGTCCCGATATGTTGGATTGATGATGTACAGGCTATTTTGTGAAGGCGCAAACCATTGTTGGGATTTTTGATGCGAAAACGCTCAAAGTTTTGCAACGGCTGTCATACTATTTAAAGGACACGGGTGTTGCACTAGCAACCGCGTTGACCACGAACAGAACTTGTCCCTCAGGAAGATGGAAACAAGTGCTTTCGTTTACAGCATGTACCGGAATCTTGTTTCAGAGGTTTCCAAATCAGACGGCCTTGTGTATACTTGGACAGTTTTGTTATGACGTAAGCGTTTCCATGACATTTTCATGTGCCCAATTGATGGGTAATGCAGGTCACCTTAACCGGAGCATGTGCACGCGAGATAGTCCTCTACTTTTGTTTTTTCTAACCAATATTTGACCTTCACTGATATCTACCACCGGTAGGACTGGGGATTTTTCACACTTGTTGATCTGGACAGTATTCTCAAGATACGCCCTCACGTCAACAGAATAAGCCCAATCGTCGATAATCTAACATTGTCCGACCTAGGAAGCTGACACTGATGGTTTGGTGTTTTTCCTTGTTGGTTACTACAGACATTATCAGATCAACCAGGTTAACTTAGGCTTCGTCGCTGAGGCCAGATAAAACTGCACATTCGCACTCAAAGTACGCTTCTGAAAGTCTGGATATCCAAGTTGTCTACGCTTCAAAAGTCTTCTCACCGACTTCTGTACATGAGTAAATACCCCTGGCACGTTCGGTAGTCCGGCGCATCCCCAGATGAGGACTAGCTGGGGCGAGGCTATCTATATAAGTAATTAATTTAACGATCAACCGGAGACTTTATTTATAACTGTGAACTGATGAATTTGATCCTATTAAGTACTGACTTCAGGTACATAGATCTCGCTAACAATGTTGGAGGTTCACGATGCGATTAGAAGCTCTAGATGTAGATGACAGGTTACCCCTCGCATTGTTAGATGGGATAAGCAAACGGTGATAGATGACAGCTTACCCCCCGCATTGTTAGATGGGATAAACAAACGGTGAACCCGTTACTGCGGCTTGCGTTCTACCTACGAAGCAGGACAGAAGTTATTAAACTAGAATCCATTATCAGACCACTAACTTAGGATTGACTTTCAGAGTTTTTCACTACATTCTATACCTTTATGATCTCTCATATCCTACCCAGTTTACACTTTATACCGAATTGAAAGGGAACAAACTGGATTTCCACCGTGCGATGGACCCCAGTCTGTCACAACTAGTCTATTCGGAGTTAATTGCCCAACTACGGGAAGCCTACCAAGAGGATCGGGTCAAAGGTAAATGATTCGGAACCCTCTATTTTGTGATGGTGATGTATTGATTCTTGCTAGCTCGTTCAGACTCACGTTTGAATATGCATTTTTAGATGGCGTGTTTGGTGCTCTAATGGACGTGCAATTGGTCAATGATGGTCCTGTAACAATCTGTTTGGATTCGAACACGGTCAAATCCGACAAGGATGCTTCGGATCTCTGAGCGCCGCTCATGAGATCGTAATCCTCTCTATGGTTTCTGGAGTCCATGGTTGTTGTCTCCCTGATCCAACGTTGATTGGTTCACCAATATTTTGTACACAAGCGTTGGTACGTAGTTGTCGAATGCACCGGTGAACTCGCTTGTATTACGTTCTTTGAGGCAGTATCCTCCCAGGGTCATAGTTTTGCAGTTGTTCCAACTTGTTTTGCAACTTCGTCTGGTGTGTGTTTACTGAATTCCCAAATCTTTGAAGTGGGTTGCGGTCGAATTCTGTGACCAACTGAAGTGTCACTGCGCTGCAGTTGATTTTTGGCTTGTTTTTTCTTGCTTTTTTTCCATAAAACCTTATCAGTGTCAATAATTTCCCACTTGTTCACGGTACAAGAAAAAATGAGATCAAGAAATTAAAACGCTCCAGGGAACCTGGGACTGATGAAATGGTAGAAAAGAGGCGCGCCTGAAGTATGCTGTACATAAATGTTGTAGCGCAAAAGTTACAAGGCCCAGCCTCAACAGTTAGATATAACGGATTGGCGACACTCGAACCAACGGAACAATGACAATAACTGCTAAGGTGTTGAGAGGAAAACTCTGCTACAACAACAAAATCAATTTGAAGCGATGCAGTTGCACTTGGTGGAAGTCTGGACGCACAAACGGTAAATTCAACCACCGAATTCCGTTCCAGTTGCAAATTTCATCGACTCGATCAGCATTACGGAGTTCCATTGTGACTCTGATGCTGGTCTAAACTTCGGTTCGTGGTTCACACGTTACGAAGATATTTTCGAAGTGGAACTGAAGCACAAAGATGCTCGGACAGTGCGCTTACAGTGGAACACAGTATTCCAATTTCATCCTGCCGATGATCCCTGTGCTATCACTGAAATTTTCGGATGTTGCCAAGCTGGTTCGTTCTGAAAACCGCGATGCGCACCGAGACAGAAGGGTGAATTGATCATCAGTTCACGGAGTCACCACGCACGAATGACTAATTGCTGTCAAATTTTGCTCCCTCTTACTCCAGCGTATGCTCAGCAAGCCCGGTAAATATGGGATGAAATTTTTAGTCGCGTGTGATGCAAAAACCAGTCACTTGGGATGCAAGAGAGCTAGCTAGTTTCGCACCTAAGAGAAACCAAGATCTCAGAGTTGTGCCAACACTCACCGAAACCTTCAGGGGGCGTTACATATATCATAACAAATGAGGAATGAGTAAGCGCTGCTGAAAACTACCCGAAAATCCGTGACCGATTCCGCCGTTTTTTGAGTTCTTCAGGTAGGCACAGTTTCTGAGTTTCCCTCAATCCTATGTTCTATTTGAAACATCCTTGAAACCTATCATAAACGAGAGCTTCAGCATGAATTCAGTTGAGTGTCCCGTTGAAACCCAATTGGTGTGCAGCTTGTACAATTAGGTTCAAGCAGAATGCAAGGTTGACGGGAACCCGGGGACGGCACCTCAAGAAGGCCGAAACAGATAAGGCTGTTTTCAGCAACTTTATGAGTAGTCTCTCAGTAGAATATTCTGCGATATCTCGAATGTCATACCAATACCTTTGTGCAGCACATTCAGTTGAAGATCATTGTGAAAAAAAGATTCAGCTAAGAACACTAATTGGGCTTCCCGCTATCCTATTTATTGCGTGACGGTTGTGTGTAGCCTTCAGGTCGAAATAGTGAAAACGACCGCCTAGGTATTATTGATTTACTTGTCCATTCTCAACCTGGTTCGGCGAAGCAAGCTGAAGAATATCATGGACAGTTAGAAAACACCAGATCCAAATGTATTACATCAGATTTTTTCGTCCAGAAAGGAAAATGTTCCGTTTCACGCTCGTCCGTGTGTAAAGCGGGATGATATGGATTCGGCTTCCTTCAAACGGGAACAGGTGGACAAAGAGCCAAATAAATCGCTAGTAGAACTCAGAACTTTACACCACAGCTATAGTTCTTACAGCCTCACTACAAATTTTAACTATTGTGGCAATGTAATCCGTAGCACTTTGAGATGTAGCAATTTCTGTACACTATCGAGGGACTAGTTCGCGTGTGAAACCGTCGATTCCCACTTTTGCTGATTTTGGACAGACATCTTATGTTTTGTCAGTTTTGGATGGTGTATTAGGTTGGACACTTCACACAACGGAGAAGTGAGAAAAAGGCGAACCATCGACCGTACTATGGATATCCACCTGACCGAACAGAGTTCGCACAATAAGCTTTCATGATTTTTACAATCGGTAGTGTCCTTTGAGTATGGGAACAATCCGCCACATTCCACTTCAGTCCGCAGCTGCTGCCATTCATACAACTAAACACTTTCGACTTTATTGATCCTGGAGCTTTCTTTGCGATATATTCAGGCATTTGTGGACGTAAAATCGAACGGACTGACGTGTTGTTGCATACCAGGCGTTGGATTTCATCGACATGTTTGCAAGCATGCACCACATTCGTGTCTTTATAAAATAACCTCAGCAACGGCTAGCTTCGCATTTCCTGAAGCCTGCCAGTAACACCTCAAATATGTAATGGAAAACGAACAATCTGATTTTCTTATTTTGGTGTGCTTACACACAAATAGCTATTTGTTCTTCTCCATCCAGGAAATATTGCTTCCCGACAGGTCCAGTAGACGGGAAGTGGATGCGGATAAGCTGTATTCCACCGAATGACGGTATCAAGATACTGCTACGTACCCCTGAAACCGCGTCCACTGCGGATTTCTACAGGTCGCCTAGCCGTATTACTCGATGAAGTAACACAGTCGCTAGTCTATATTTTAATTGCGAGCCTTCTGAGCTTTCCAAAGCAATTGAGTGGGATCTCACCGAAATGACGCCAAAATCGAGGCCTGGCCGCCTGAACTAGGATCTGCGAAAATGGCACAGAAAGATAGGAACAGTCATGATCAACGGTTTGTCCTATCTGACTCTGGCGAAAGTTCCGTATGTTTTGAGACCAATAGTTATATTTATTCTTATCGTACTTAATTTGACCAACTATCACCATCATCAGCTGTTAGAACCACGTATTTGTTGGACAGGGGTTATAGCTGCCACAGTTTTGTTCATCGATGATTTGTGGAAGTAGGATGGATAACTGCGCATTGAATGTGGCAGCCGATACAACTGATGCGTAAATACAGTCGACTTCTCATTGGGAGATTAGGAGGGTAGCTATGCATTGAAGGCAAGAGGTTGGGTGAATGAGCTCTATTGAGGGCGCGATTGCGCCATGCCTGACAATGTTATTGATGTGTCCCATCTCGGTGTCCCCATCCAAGGGGCTAGGATCTGTCAGCGCAGCTGAGTTTGGCTTTCATACTTCAATTAATTGTTTGACAGTCCACAGCCCATTTCCACCCTTCAGGTAGTTGTGCGAAAAGAATTCTTCGACGAAGTCGTCGAATGGCACACGCAGCTCGTGGTCAAGCCAGCGCAACCATTCACGGCGGCAGTAAGGTGTCTCTTTTAAAATTGATGTCAGGGCTGAATGACCGACTGTGCCATGCACGATTTCAACAGTAATTTCACAATAAAACCAGGGAGAAATTCATGAGACGTCCTGTAAATGCATGTAGGTTCAAAAATCGATTTAAGCCCGTGTTGATTACATCTTCATCAAACGTATGTTGCAGTACATTTAATGCCATACAAATGCTACGTTTTCTTCCCCTTCTCATCCCTCCCGGCGACAGCTTTAATTGTGGTAAATGAATATAGCGATCTCAAGAATTCACTATTCCTTTGGTTCCCCCCCCCCCCTACAGAGCGTATTCCATACACACGTGGCTTTGAGCTTCCAAGAGTGCATGCTCCCAAAAAGGGTGTTTTCAGTTGGCTGCGAAGAGCAGGCTTTCCTGAGGGGACGTTCTGTCTACATACAGGGAGTAAAAAGGAGCATCGTCAAATGGGGTCTTGTGTTCAATAACAGTGTAGTCTCATGATAAGCATCAACGCTCTAATTGGTAGTCAGCCTACTCCCATCCAGGAATCAACAATCTTTAGGTTTAAATTTTCAACTGGATGCACTTTAAAAAAACGGTTCAGATAGAATGGAACGAAAATAAGGAACAAAAGGAAGAATTAGATAGTACTTGCCTTAGCTTAGTTTTATTCAACCTCTTTTAAAGTAGTATTAACCCAACCGCCTTTGGATCTTTCTACTTGCGATATGATTTCTAACTCAGCTAACGTTCAGGCGGACCTGAACGTTAGTTGATACCGCCTTACATACTGAATGCTGTATCCTACGTTTATGCAACCCAATTTACACAGAAAACTGTCTGCTCCTGATAGGACATTGTGATAACAACACTTTTTTATTTCCTGCCCATGCGCTGGGGGCGGACAAAAAAAGTGCTGTTCAATTCTGAATGCGATTATATTTTTCCTACCCAACCGTCTTTTTGTACACTTATTTAGATGCCGATCTCGAGCTATTCCGACCTTATTCTTCCGAAACCACATTTGTTGTTTCATATGATTGTTGAAGTAAGTGAAACAAGGCTGTTCCTCGTAAAGAACCTACATCTGAAGTTTCATCCGAGCTTGCCTTACAGACAGCACCTTATTGTTTTTAGTTGACTGCCTGTTTTTTTTTGAATGGTGATCTTTATGTTGCCCGTGCTTAATTTTATTGTCGTCGTATAGGATGCATGCATAAAGTGCTAAAAATACCCTCAACTAGTCATTTCTAAAGTTTTTTATGAGTTGACGTAGCACACATCCACTTGACCCACCACAGATGTTTGCCGGTCGCTTCGAATCAATATCACGGGTTGACACCTGCACATTGTTAGCTCACAATGATCGATAATAGTAGTGAAAGGAAGAAGGCCTTCGCTGCGGAGCTATCTATTAGGAAATGCCAACTGAACGGCTACAGACCATTGGACAGGGAAGCAAAACTCTAATTCGCATCTTATTCACAAAAACTGGACATCCATCTCCTGAACGCGTCTTCTTGAACTTTCCTGGATATTCATTGACTCCAATCATTCCTCGCTCAGATCCAAGCAATTGTTACAAGGCGACTCCACAAATTCCGCAACAGATCTCCCCTTTTCAAGAGACGCAAAGCGAAATTCCACGAACAACACATGCTATTCGCGTACCTCCCCATCAGTAGTATCACCGTTACAGCAGTAGCGGTGTTACTCGCCAGCTTCAGCTACGGATAGTTACTGTATATAATGAATGGGGAGGGCGCATTTGAGGCCTGTTTCTGGCAACCGATGGGCCTAAAAATGATGGAATATCAGTGAGTCTGCACCAGAGAGTCTTTCTATTATCTTTCATAGTGTCTGCGTTATCCGTCCATTCAGGG